GGGCAAGCACCAGGACAAAGCCTGGATTACCTGAAAGGAGGAGCAGGAAGATAAAGGATACAAACGGGACTGAGCAGCTGCATCTCAGAAGACAAGATGATTAGTATGTGTTGACGCTATGTCAACAAGGCTCACCAACACCTGTTCATGTGTTACTTTAGGCCAGATTGCATGGATTTCATCAATTGTGGAATTGTAAAAAACTGGAATTGATTGATTTAATTTGGCTGAATGCAGATAAAAACTGCTTTGATTTGATCAATAGTTAAGCACACGTTATCTTGACGGTTCTATTGTTGCGTCAATCTGTAGTTTAGGGTCACGTAGAAAGTGATGGAAGGCCGGATTTGGCCCGCTAGAGTTTGACACATGTGCTTTAGGCTAATTTGCACGAGTGTGTGTATTTTTGCTGTTTTTATCTTCCTCAGAAGAGGAACAGCACCAGCACATACTCCAGCTCTCTGAAGGAGCTGCTGCAGAGGAAGATCAGCACCCTGGAGGAGCAGCTGCACCACCACACCACCACCCTGGGCAGCAGCGCGGACCAACACCACGATGACGACTCCGGCCACAGAGATGACGGAGACCACCATGACGACGGTCACCACGACGACAACCACAAACACGACCACGACGACGAACACCACGACGTCCACGACGACACCGGAGACCACTCGGACCATCATGACGACAGCCACAGCGAAGACCACCATAATGGAGATCACGACGATCATGATGAAGGTCAGGATAGTGATAGTGAGGAGGATGAGGATGAGGAGGACGAGGAGGAAGAGGAAGAGGAAGAGGATGATCACAGGAGCAATGAAACAGAGGATCACAGCTACCTCCCACACACTGGGTACAGAACTGGTTTCCACTCTAATAAACTGGAAACGATGCTCAACCAGCTGCACCTGACAGGTAAAATTCACCTGACGCTCTGCTGATTCCCAGTTTAGATAAAAACTCTTTAGATGCAAAAACACAACATTTTATCTACTATTTTTTTGTCTAATTTCTAGTGCAAATGTCTTAGAACACTTGACATAAGACAAAACTCACATAAGTAACTTTTCAGCAGGATGTAGGAGACTGTTTTAAGTCAATAATTCCTCATACTGCTAGTTCTACTGGAAGATTATTTTGCTTATAACATGGGAAAAATAGCTTATAAGCAAAATAATCTGCCAGTACAACTAGTACATTTTTAAATCAATATAAGAAATACATTAAAAGATGTGGAAAAACAATGAATTCAATTCCTTTTTTAAATAAGAAAATACATATTTTATTGCCTAACATGCAGCAGCATAGCATTCCTTTAGTGAATGCTTGATCATTTGTAGCAAAGGAAGAATGTTCTCCACTCTAGTTGGATATAATTTGAATATTTTCACCTTCCTGAAAGAGCTGCCTAAGCCATTTTTGCCAAACGCAATTTTGTCAAAATAAAAAAAATGCCCCCGTTTTTATTGCTGAAAGATGAATTAGGCAAAACAAAAAACAAAAAAAAAAACACTTTTGGCTAAAAATGACGTAGGTCAGTATTTTGGAAAGGTGACAATTTTTTTTCAAGCTCCTAAATAAATCTAGTATGTTCCTCATAGCAGAACAGCTAAAACATTAAAAACAACTTACATTTTCCTCCACAGCTTCCAACAAGAAACATTCCAAGAAGCTGGATGCCTTCCAGATCAGCTTCCCGATGAGGACCAACTACATGTACGGCCGGATGAAGAGGACTCTGCTGCAGGAGATCTTCGCTCTGACCTTGTGCCTCTGGATGAAGGCAGGCGTGGGACCCGGACTGGGGACTCCTTTCTCCTACTCTGCACCTGGACAGGCCAATGAGTTGGTGCTCATCGAGTGGGGGAACAACCCCATCGAGCTGCTGATCGATGACAAGGTGAGGAAGAGCAAAGGAAAGACATCAAGTTGGTACATTATTCGCTTCTTATGACTGAGATAAATACTAACAGATTCCTTACAACACAGTTTGTGTGGCTGGGTGGCTCAGCTGGTAGAGCATGAATTTAACTGTCATGTGTCAACATGGCATCACCATCACCCTTTTAAAAGAAAATGTTCCTGTCTGATCCACAGGCTGTGACGCTGCCCTTATCTCTGAGTGATGGGAAGTGGCACCATGTTTGTGTGACGTGGACAACAAGGGAGGGACAGTGGGAGGCCTACCAGGACGGTGTCCAGCGGGGCTCTGGGACGAACCTCTCTCCCTGGCACTCCATCAAACCTGGAGGGGTCTTCATCCTGGGACAGGAGCAGGTAAAGACAAAAAATATTTTTTGGCTTTTGTGAGAACTTACAAAATTATTTTGCATCCTTTTTTCCCCTCATAAGTCAACGAGAAAAATCCCCCGTAAAGCTGGAGCAGTTTTTTAATAAAAGTATGCAATTTTTAGAAAAAGTGTTATTACATAGTTGTCATGACGTCATGAGACAGTAGTAGTATGAGACAGAATCTGTGAAATACTAAAACTAAAACTAAAAAAATCAAGCTCCTCTGCCTTCTCCCAGTGGTATCTAGAAACAGACAACTGAAGCCAGGAGGAGGTTCTTAGCGCTGCCAATCTCCCTGTGTTTGGTGCTGCTCATTCCTCCTTTCTCTAGCTGTGCTACTCTGCAGCTAGCACAGCCTGCCATGAATACTAAGTCTAGTTAGCGTAGCCACGGAAGACGGCGGAAAAACGGTTTTTCTGGTAAGTTGTTTCTCAGCCATTAGCACATTTAGCAGAGAGAGAACATAAAGTTGATTGACAGCGATAAGACCCGCCTCCTGGTTCTGATTGGTTGTTTGAGGTGGAGAAGATCGATCGTTTCACAGATTATCCGTCTCGTAGCAAACTGCCACAACATGGCGACAGTTTTAATATATATACTGCAGCATTAAAGGTCAAAAGGTGACATTTTTACCCCCCTTCAGGACACTCTTGGAGGCCGTTTTGATGCCACTCAGTCGTACGTGGGAGAGATGTCAGACCTCCACATGTGGTCGCACGCCCTGAGCGCCGCTGACATCTACAGCCTGGCCTCCTGCGGCAGTCACCTACGCGGTGACGTCATCGACTGGTCTGAGTCGGAGGTGGAGCTTCACGGCGGCGTTGCTAGGTACCCGTTCGACCCCTGCCACTGAAGGAAGGTTTACCCGCCCAAGAAGAAGACCGTCGAGAAATCATGAGATTTTGGACTTTAAGTATTCAGACTGTTTGCCTTCCTTTAAACTATTTCTCAAATGACGCAAAAAGGAGGATGAAGTTGTAGCCTGATGACCGTATTTACAGAGAATGTGTTTGATGTTCTCTCTCTCTCTTTTTTAAATAAATTAGTGTTTTATTATAAACAGACAAGTGCTGACTGTGACATATTGTCATAATGTGAATAAGATTTAATGAGAACAGTTCTGTGCTGATGGGGACCTTAAAGGGTTCGGCTGTAGATTAGAGTTAGTTTAATGAAATTCATAGACATGTTTTAATAAATCTCTTCATACTTTGGATTCTCTTTTTTAAGGTTTCCATGAAACATACAGCTAATTTACCAAAGAAACTATAGAACTCAAATGTGTTTTTCTCTTGTTTTATTTAAATTTACATGTAAAGATAGACTTCAGAGAGTTTAGCCTATGCACTCTGGTTTGACTGCCTCAGTTTTGTGTTTTTTTAAACATTTGAAAAATCTTTATTCTGTTGTTTTTCCTCAACTTTTTTGTCCTCACAATGCAAGGATGTTCACAGAACAAATCCTTAATATTCATCACTTTTGTTTGGTTGAACAGTGAGTAACTTCTAACTTGTGTGTGTTGAGATTGTTGCAATGTGGCTTCTGAATTTGTCATTTTGGCCTTGATTGTATATTTATTATTGTACAATATGTTACAGATTGAAGCTATTAGAAAATGTTGAAACTCAGTGTGATTGTGTTTTTGTTGAAATGTGAGTAATAAAATTACAAAAATTAAGCATTTTGTTCTCGTTCAAGGTGCTTTCACTGAAAGCGCATTTCAGGGTTTTACGTCAATGCAGATAAATCAATTTCAACATTGTAGTCCTGTAGAAAACTTAAATACAAAGATTAAAAATATAACAAACGTATACATAACCACTGCTTAATTTTCAGAACGTTCTCTTTCTCTTTAAACAAGAGTGTTCTCCTGAAAGACCAAAACATTGAAATAGTAGCCATGGTCAAGAGGAAACACTCTGGTCTAAGGATTTATTTACATTACCAAACTTCAAAAACATATTTTTAAATTTTTAAATACCACTAATTTCATCCTAGAAGTGTGTGACATCAGGAACCTGGCATCATTTCCCTCCATTTTCGTGTTCATCTCAGATCTATTAGGCTGACTTCTTAACAATCACACTCAGGCTTACTGTATTTATTCAAACATTCAAAAGATAATCAAAGAAACAAAAGAGAAAATTAAGTTGATGGTTAACATCAGTCCTGCAACTTCTGCCCCTTTACAAATAAATAAAATAAACAAACTATAGAGAAAAGGTCCCCAATAAAGTGTTGACATAAATGGCTCTCCATACTGAACAGCTAAAATACACATTAACAGTTAAAAACATATACAAAAAACATGACAGTTTCACATGAAACCCTGTATATAATTAAATGTGTCTAAAATATGATAAAATATAGTACTTGTAGGGAAAACGCAGCAAATCACGGCAACCAAAAAAAGGGGCTGAGCTGTTACTGTTGCTATGGTAACTACCGACTGGCAGCAACCTTAACCATACAAGTCAGGAGAAAATAACTGACTAAACAAAGTGGAGTTGAGGAATAAATAAACCAATTTTGACAAATAAAATAAAACCCTGCTACAATCACAAAAGGTGAAAGAACTTTGAAAAAGACTTAACTTTGAGACAAGTTTAAAAATAATTTAAATATTAAGCACTAAAGTTGTACCTTAAAGAGTGAGGTGGTGCAACAGGCCCCATTAAAATAAGAGACATGACAACAAATCGTTTTGTTTACTTTTACTTACTTTTTTTTATTGTTACACAGTATTTTACTGGTATCGTGGTTTTCCTTTTGCTACATGTACAGATGATGCATCCATCTTTACCTCCAAGTAAACAAAAATAAATAAATACAAAACAAACATTTTCTGAATGTAGTGGCTCTCCAGAGAGAAGCTTAACAATATTCATTTTTTGTTTTTACCTGGAAACAGTTTCCATTTTTTGGCAACTTTGAATGTTAAAAATCATAAGGACAGACAGTCCTGGTGATGTACATAAAAATTAAAATGAAGCCAGAAAATTGGGACTTATGGCTTCATTTCAACACAACGTCTGCCAGCCAATCACGTTCAAAGTGGAAATAAAAAAACATTAGGATAAGTTTCTATCATGAAACCAGTAAACCAGTAGAAGATAAACTGTTTCTGCTGGTCGGACGAGAATGGACATACATTTCTCAGAATATTGCAGTGTGTGCGATTACCAGCAGAGGGCGCCATATTGAATTAGAGTAGGTCAGTAACGGCATTTTTTCCTCCAAATGCTAAACTTGATAAAGTGCTGCATACAATAGTTTAATTTCCCCCAGAATCAAAAATACAAATACACTAAAGTAGGTCAAATCCATGACTGGAGACAAATCTAAACTTTTAATATGAGTGTTTTAAATCAATGGTTTATTATTAGTGTTTATCAGTTAGCTGTCTTTTTATTTCAAACATAACATTAACATTTCAGCTCAAACAGCTTCCCCAGACTTTAAAGGGCATATGTCATCATATTTTTTTATATACATTAATGTATTTTAAACAAATCCATTGTTTTTATAGCAAAGTAGCATTTAAATGTACTCTTAAAGAGCAAATTCTTCATGTCTGTCATGTCAAATGAACAATGGCTGGGCACAAATCATGAACTGTTTTATTGAAGGGAAACTTTTTAAAGGGAGTATTCTTGGTGCCTTCTGAGCAATACGTTATGTTGGAGGGAGAAATAAAAAAATATGCAGAAAATATGGCTGAACTCTGTAAAAAAAAAAAAAAAAATCAAATACAATCTTGGCTTTAAGGGAAGGAACAACCACAACATGGAGGAAGACGGCAGAGAGACTGTGTCTATTTGTGAGCATAAAGATTAACATATCATGTTTTTGCTTTTGTTTGCTGCAAAACATCTGCTGATATCCACAGTATGAGTTAAATCAATTACACTCAGGATGGACTCACCACACGCACTTTTAAACCTCTCTGTGGGGTGCTGGTTTGTTTGGTTTTCAGGTTCCCACACTCAACATTTCTCAACCTCTGAAGATAAATCACCATTAATAAATATTCACTTTATGAACTCAAATTCAAGTGGAAGACGTTGCTATCGCTATTTATGTCTTGATGAATGGGTTTAGCTCCCGAAGTGTAATTTACACGGTTTTTTTCTCTCTTTTTTTCCATTTCTGAATTTCAGTCATAAAATGTAAACGAACATATTTGAATTTTATCAAAATGATGACATATGCCCTTTAAATTCGACACTGGGCAGCAGAGTGTGAGAATCAAACTCTGTTTGTGCTTTACAGAGTTTGAATCCCTCAAGAAGAAAAAAAAAAAGTCAAACATATAATCTCATATTTTCTAAAGGTAAGCAGGATCACTCACTTGATGCACAAACCAACTTCAGTATTAAATGCTGTCTTTCCATGTCACCAGGAAACACAAACACTTTCCAAATCAGTGCACTAACTTGGTCAACCATGCATCAGTACCTATGACTCATCCTTCCGTTCATCGACATGCAGTAAAACAGTAGCTCATACAAAAAAAATCTGATTTTAACAAAAGATAAACAATAAATTAAATCAAATCTGTGTGTTTCGTAAACAAATATGCTAACGTCTATTTACAAAAAGTGTACAATGAAAAGAGCTGCCTTTGTGACTTCACAAAACCCATGTTGGTGGACAGAGTTAATTCAACAGATGTTGAGTTGTTGTAGTGCTGCACAAAAAAAGAAAACTCGTGTTTCATGCCGTTACGTTAATTCTGAAAAGACATGATGAGAGCGGCTCTGTACAGATAAAGATTCAACAAGCCTCCAGACAACGATACTCTACTCTGCTATTGCTCAAACATGTTGAGAAACATGCTAAAGTTCATACTGTACGCTGTGTTTCCACTATGAAAACCAGTGAAAATATACATTAATAACATTTACCTTGCTAGAATTCAGTATTTAAGTTTGGATGTGAACTTTATGCCATTTGGAGTATTAAATTAGTTTGCAAATTCACAGCTCTATCAGAATAAAAACGTATTGTTAGTACTTCACATTTTGTCTTGGCTATGCACAATCAACAAAGGAAATATCTTATTAAGGCGGCACTGATGATAATAAAATAGGACTTCATGAAACTGCAGCTTCTTGCAACCCTGAATAAAACTGTATTCACACGAAGGTGGAAAATCTTGATTTTTGACTTGTTGATTCACGACAATTCTCAGCCCAGATGGAAAATCTTTTAAACACCGGAACTGCAGGACATCGTTCTCAAAAATTAAAGCAATCTGAAAAAACAAAACAATTACATTAAAGTGATTTGATGTGTATAAAATGGCAACAGACCCCAGCCACTGTGCAAAAGAAAGATAGTTTCTAGTGTGAATACAGTCTTAAAGATCCTGTTTAAGTGGGAGTGAAGACAGCAAAAGTTTTGTTTGTGCTCTGGGATTATTGTATTAAGTTGAATGCAACAGCAGTACTGTGAACGGCAGCCTCAGCAAGTAAGCCATTCGCTCTGTTTGCAGCTTTTTCAAAGAGTCTGGCGGTCAGGACAGAAGGGGTCCTTGCAAGTGGAAGAGGAGGCGCTTTCAGGAAGAATGAGGAGGAGGAAGAAAGGTTAAAGATGGGAGTGAGCAGCAGAGATGATGTGAGAGGAAGAGGAACATAGACGTAACCTAGGGCTGCTCCTCTTTCTTCTTCAGTGATATACGTTTCTTCCTGGCAGCAAGCATTTCATAGAACGGATCCACACTGACCGCAGATCTATAAAACAACAACAAAAAATAAGTCAGAAACAAATCTCCATCTTAGCACATGAAAATGTGGATGAGATTGAATTTTCTCAGCTGTAATTCAGATATTCTGTGAGAGAAAAACAAGAAATGTTTGTACACTTTCAAGCACTTTTCAAGAATTTTCAAGAATTTCTCCTGGATCACACTTTAGAGATTAAATAAACTAAAGAAGACAGTTTCAATTCACTATTATATGATACTATTTATTACTGTTGGTATGTTGTATTCTACATTTTACAACAGGGGCAATATAAACTAAAATATAACAAAATGTTATACTTTGAAATGTTTCTCTCACACAAGGAAGGAAACCAAAAAGGCTTGACCCAAGTTTAAAAGACCAAGTTTAGAAATGTAAACTTCTAGGTACAAAATAAAGCTCTAAAAAATGTTTTCCAAATAGAAATAATTTTGGTAATTTAAATGACATAAAATAAGAAAAGTTTAGTCTGATTTATCTTCATAACAGTGAGAAAAAAATGTCTGTGTATTAATATATCTGGGTTCAACTGTAAAAAATGTTTTCTAAATTTAAGCTTTCAATCAAGTGTTAGATTCCACTTCATTACAAAAACGTATAAAGCACTTTCCAAACCTTGAAAACAACCAGCTGAAATTCAAGCATTTTCAACACTAAATTGTAAAGATAAGAAAATTCTTTTAATAATAAGGAAATAAAATCACATTGAAATACATGGACATTCACAAAGCACTGCATCTGTCATCTTTTTCTTACTTGATGCTGTGGATCCACTCGTCCTTCTCCTCCGGTGTGGGTGCAGAGATGCGGTACACCATGTGGTTTCCTTCCACCACCCTCCCATCAGCCTCCGTCTTACACGCCTTGATGAGCTGCCCGCGGTTGTTGGGGATGTACAGCTCAAAGCAGTTCTGTTTAAAAAAAAAAAAAGAAAGAAAGAAAGACGTTACGACATCCATTCCACTGGGGAAATTACAAAAACAATCTAACAAGATATTTCAGTGAGAAAACGAAGGCAACTCACAGGCTTTCTTGGGTCCTCTACTTCACGGATGCTAAGATTTTCCAAGGGAATAATACCTCGTGGTTCCTTATCCTGTTGGGGAAAATTCATTTAGCATAATTTTCAGTCACAAAGCATGTGCTGCAGATGCATAACTGGAGCTTTTACAGAGAAATGTCGTGCAGTGATGATCGGTTTCTCATTGGCGATACATTTCTATTCCACTTATCCTTGATAATAACACTGACAAATTAATCCGTCTTTTTCAGAAGTACAAGAAAGCCTCATTATGCTACATGATATCATGATGGGTATGAGTTTGAAGAAATTTCTCCATCATGCCTGCTGCTAGCATGTGCTTGTTCTAAATGAAAATGAACACTTTCTTCTTTGATTTCCAATTTTGACTTCGACTGATTCACTTCCTGCTAAAGAGCCCCCTGGTGGTTGAAGAAAAACCCACAGAAAAGCCACACCAGGCCATAAGCCGCGTGGTTCAAAGCGAGGGGAAAAAGTGGCGGCTTATAGTCCGAAAAGTACGGTAATTATTTTATCCTGCAGTGATGGCTGACATTGGTGACAAACACTGACACTTACTGTGGTGTATTCAAAGTAATAAAGACAGTTGTCTGTGAGGATGAACCATCGGCGTTTCCAAGTTTTCACTCTTCCTCCTGCAAGATCAAAAATAAATCAGGTATTTAAAGAAAGCAGGGAGTTTATTTTTAAATAAGCACTACTCTACAGTATCTACGTTCTACCTACTAATTAAACTTCAAATTTCTTGTTTCTATGTTTTATTAAACACTGTTTCAGTACATACCTCCTGAGAAAACAAGCAGCAGCAGTAGAGCATGGAAATGGCAGGAAAGAAGCAGAGACACAGAGAAAAAGAGGAATTAGAGGGAGACAAAAGGAAACAGGGAAGGAGACCGTATTAGTGACACGGACCAGAGGCCCCCGTCATGCGAAAGGACAAAATCCAGACTGAGAGAGTGAGTCTGTGCTTCACTATCACATGCTATGGCAATGTTTTAATACCACAGCGGCGTTTGGAGGCCAGGAGGCAACAAACCTCAGAGACAGGAAGACAGACTCAACGTAGCACAAAGCCTTAGAGGTGATTAGAGAACAGTACAGAGCATGTTTTCTTCAGATCTCTGTAACACGAACCGCAACCATCAGTAACGGATTAACACAGGATCGGCGTTAAAGGTCTAGACAAAACGTGTTTATTACATTTTCTGCATAAAATCATTTTTAGATAAAGTTTTAGAAAATGGCTACAAAACAATATATACAACCATACATCCTTGAAAAGTGAAAGTGGAACCTCCTGCGCAACCAACAAGAATGCAGCAACTAAACACTTGTCTTTTCCAGCAGCCATTGTACACAGGTAAAACAAGCTGACCAACGTGCTGGAGCTCAGCTTGGGTTGCTAGGTAACGGGACTAGTCTCAGCTCAGGTTGCTAGGTAACGGGGCAGTGCCAGTTGATTCTGATTTAACAATAGGAAGGTTTCTGAAACAGATAATTTTCCAGACACCAATAAACATTAACTTATTGCCAAAAGCCGTGTGGGTGTTTTTCTTTTAAGTGATTGGGCTGTTTTTTTTATTTTTAGAAGCAGTTAAGACCCAAATGGAAGTATAAAAATGCTTAAAATATGAATTTTGCACATAAGAACCTCTTTAAAGGCAAGGTAAAGCAGGAACGGCCTCACTGGGAAAACTCTCACCAAGTTTAAGCAGCCAGCCCTCTCTGTCTGGGTTGAAGAACGTGTGTGTCAGGTCGTTGCCATCGTCCTCCGGGATCTTGAATGGTTCATTTTTAATGCTTTCATACAGATTCTGAAACACAACAAACCAGGAAAGATGAGATCGCCGTACAACCACTCCTAAACTACCAACACAACCGATCAGGCTGATCGTACTCTGAGCAGCTCCTCCGGCAAGTCTCCCCCGTCGTTGATCCCGCGGTTCATCGAGATGAAACGGTCCAGTCCGGGTTTGTCTCTCACATTTGGGTTATGGAGGCTCGTGTTCAGCATAATTATGGCAAACGAAAGCACGTAACATGTGTCTGTGAACAGTAGAGAAAACAATAACTGACAGGAAATGAGTAGGAAGGAATCCATCAATACTTCATTGCAACCTCCAAGGAGCACTTAACTTCACATCAAACCGCGTCCACAGTTTACTCCTTCCCATCAAAAATCACTTACAGAAACATTTTATTAAGGACAGGCAGAGAATCTAAATCAAACTGTTGAATGCTTCGTTCTGAATATTTTAAAACTTATACTGAATTATTACTTTCAACTACAATTTAGAATCACATTAATGGTTCCTAAAGAGGTAGAAAAAGACTGTCCAATAACTAAACAGCTAATGCCAGCATGCTATAGTCCTTGAGTTACTTTATAAAGTGCAAAATGGCAAAAGAAATAATATTCAGAGCAATAAGTGCATTTACATTAAAAGTGCTACTGAATTCAAACAAGTCAATATTTTAAATACTTTTCCACTGTCTGCTAAAAAAATCGTATGCCTTACACTGAGTTTCTTATTTTATCTGACACCAACTTTAAGTTTATCTCAATACTCGTAAGTGAAGTAAAATTAATTCCTTGATTCTTATATCAGACTGGTAAAACATTGTGACTGGTAAATATCTGGATAATTTAATCAGGGTCCTCTCATCCTCCATATGTGCGTCTACAAATGCATATCAGAACAATAAAACAGCATCGGCGACATCAAATTAAATACATTTATTTAATCTGCAATCGTGAATAACTTCTTAACTTCTGATTCAAACTAACACAATAGGATCATGTTATGCATTTTGGTTTTAAATCTGAGTGAAAACACCAACTATGGTGCTTTTACTCAAGTTTATCTTTCTGTAAAAATATGGTCCAGACTAATGCCTCATCTCTCTACAAACTAAAAATGCAAACAATGAATGTAGCCCAGTCTGCACCTTTAAAGATAATCTCATTACCCTGAAAGTCAAACCAAGTCAAGTCATTTGATCGCTGCTTGATTAGATTAGAACTTGAGCAGCATTTACACTCGACTGAAGGCAAAGCACCAAGATACCCTGTGAAACATGGAGAATCTACTTAAAACCAAAGTCATGCATCTTTAACATGAAGGATTGATTTTCTACCACAGAGTGGAAGGCTACAGACAGTCTGCAACTCCACGGTAGACATTTTTTGTAAAAGCTGCTGACAGACGATCATGAAAAGTAACTTCTCACAGTTGACCTTCTAAATAATTACTTGTTTCCATATTGGGTACAGAAAATTAAGTTTCTAGTATTAGAAATCCATCAAACTTCAACACCAGCAGATATAAGACTTAGGTTGATACTGAAATTAAAGGTGACCTACTATTCTTCCTTGAACAGTTTAGGATACATCTACGAGCTACAAAAGTTGTTCATGACCTTTTTTGCATAATGGGATTTTAGTCTGGTCAGTTATGAGCTCCTTCCAGAAGAGATGTTTTATGTTGTCTTGTCACTTTAAATCATAATAAGCTCCTGCTGGCCACGCCCCCAAACTCAATGTTTACACTCAGATGTGAAAATGACTGCAAACAGATGCAGTCATTTTCACATGACTGCATCTGTGAAAATGATGCAGTCATCATTTTCCAGTCTTCCGTACTTCATTGAAAAGCAAAAGTGGAGCCTCCTGCAGCACAACCATCAAGAATGCAGCAAGTTGTTTCTGGAATGTAATTCAACAACTAAACACTAAAAACCAGCTGACCAAACATGCTGGACCTCAGCTTGGGTTGCTAGGTAACGGTGCAGTGTCCATATATTGGGAGACTTTTGAAACAGCTCCTTTTCCAGGCACAAAAAACAAAACAAAACACTAATTTATTGCCAAAAACTGGCTGGGTGTTTTTTTTTTTTAAACGCTAGGCTGTTCTTAGAAACAGTAGAAATCCTAATGGTCCTGTTTTATTTATTTATAATTTTTGTGTGACTTTTGTAATTTTCCTGTCACTTTGCTGCTGGTACATCTGAATTTCCCCACTGAGGGAAAATAAAGGTTATTTCTATTCAATTCTATTCATGCAACTCAAAGAAAACACCTGCATGACTGTATCAACATGTATTTAAACTGCAGAGCCTGCCAAACTACTTTTGCTTTACACAAAGGAAGACTGAAAGAATGTACCTCATCTCATAACAATTCAAGGAAGCAATGAAAACACAAACTGCTCTTATTGAAAGGCCCTGGGTATAAATACAAAGGCCTCTGTGGGTTAACATATTAGCAAATCATTACTGGTAAGAGAGATAGAGTATGAGGGCAGCATATGTGGAAAAACACTTTCACTTTGTTTTAACAAGATTTTACGGAAATAGTCCAAAAACGACACTCGGGACAGATTTCACAGCCAAAAATGGTTGTGTTCTTTATAACCTGTGCTTTGGAAGACACCAGGGTTGCAGTGGCAGTATCTCTGAGCAAAGGCCTCCATCATTCTGTCAATCTTCTGCGCTTCGCCTGGCAAACGGAAACTCCACAGGAACTGTCTGCAGAAAACAGGACAGGGTTTAGATCCAGCCTAAAAGATCAGGTTCTGCAATCAAAGCAGGTCCTGTTCTGTCCTGTTCCCCCAACCTAACCAGAGACAAACATGGGATTTTCCATTACTGAGCATTTCTGCTCCCTGAATAATGGCTGCATATAACTTGTGTTTCAGTAGAAGGCGAAGAAGAGGATGAAGTTTACCTGAGGGCCTGCACCAGGTTAAGGTCGGTGAACTCATGGAGGTCAACAAAAGCTTGAAGCACTTTTATGTTGAAGTCGTCTCTGCAAAAAGAAGTCATTTATATTTACAAATTGTCGGGACAACAAAACAGGAAAAATGTGAGGTTTTTTACACGTCATGCACCTTTCTCCCAGGTAATCCCCGATGGCGGTCTTGTTGAGGCCTTCTCCCTTGTACAAGAACTGTGCGATGTCCTCTGCTGTGTGTCTGAGCAGCTCGTTTTCCACCAGAAACAAAATCCCCTGCAGAAAGAGTCGGTGAGTAAAAACTGCATGTGACAAAAACAGCTGCAAAAGTCCAACAAGGCATTCACCTTTTTTGGGTCCATATTGAATTTCTTGCGTCCCATAGCCACGTGTCTACTTTTCTGTAGAGTTTTGCTGAAGAAAGCATAAAAATGGTAAGAATCAGAATATTTTACAGCATGAAAATGTGATGCTTTTCTTAAAACACTTTGCATACACCGTCAAACCACATGAATCCTAATTAGATGGTGGACTTTCTGTTTATTTAAACACAAAAATGTATCTACCTGCCCTCTGTACTGGTCTCCAGTCCCTCTACCTCTAAAATTGCCTCTCGTAATTCCTCCCTGAGCCTCTGGATCTCCTGCAAGAGGACACCCTTCCTCCTGCGGATGTCCTCCAGCTCGGAGCGCTCCTCTGGGCTCAGATCTACCGGGACTGCAGAGGAAGAGAAGAAGAATGATTGCATTGCAGCACATTTCACAAATAGTTAATGGGACTAAAATAATCTAGGTCAAAAGCAATCTATTCTGATGGCAAAAATACAGAAACGAGGTGCATTGTTAGGCAGTCTCCATTATCTTTCAGAATCAAGAATGGACAACATTTAAGGAAGGAATAAAATATTTATTTATTAATCTTGATTCTGATTAATAAATATTTATTTATTATCAAGATATAGTAACTGAGAATCAGAAAGAATCCAATAGCCATGCCAATAAAATTTCATTAAATTAATAACCCAGTCTCCTAATACAGCTCAAAGTGAATTAGTGATTAATCAGAACAGCTACCTCACTGCTTGAAAAAATAAACACAAATATCTCAAAATTGTCTGCAATACCAGGAAATTAGTTTTCTTAGTTTTTTAGTGTAAAGCATATAGATTTAAGTACAATGTTTGTTAATACCCTGGTGTCATTTACATTCTGTTTCTAAATAAAAGTGAGCACAGTTTAAAAGAAAATAAATCTGAATAATATTTTCTGCAACCAGAGTTAATGAACAAATAAGTCTTTGTTCACCTGCAGTAACAGACTTTCACTGAAATTGCTTTAATTTGTCTAGAACTTGATTTTCTCAGCTAGTGCAAAAGAAGGCAAGAGGATTTAGAGTATTCTTCTTCTTACCATTTATTTGACATTTTAAAGTCAGTTTATTTTTTCCCAAAAGTGGCTTTTCAGAACTGAGTACACGGCACTGAAACAATGCTAACTCAAACTCCTACCTTATCAAGTCAAACTAACATCTGATGCTGTGCAATTAATCACTTTTGTATTTTATTTTCAGATCAAACTGATCAGGAGAAACATTTACAACCGACTTGCTCTAAAATGTTTTAGAGAGCATTGAAAGGCCTGAAGTTATCCTGAGCCATCTGTAGCCATCTTGGTTTAGGCTACTGGAAGGCAAACTGATCAGTTTCCCTCACTTTGCTACTTTCTTCTTCTACTGCTCTCCAATTTGCATTATTTTGACTTTTTCTCTCCACAGAAGCTACATCTGGTCTAATGCAGCTTGGCTGTGAAACCTTCCTGGAGGAAGACATCAGCTGATTTAATGCTGCAGCATTCTCCTTTTCCTGTTACCTTTTTGCTTTTCATCAACACTGAAAGTACTTCAGCGTCAATTCTTCTGTATGTTTTTTGTGTCTCTGCTCTGGCTAATCAAGCGAAAACCAAACAGACAGTCACTTGTCCTGAGCCTGGTTCTGCTGAAGGTTTCTTCTTGTTAAAGGGAAGTTTTTCCTCTCCACTGTCGCTACATGTTCATCCAGAAGAAATGAACGCTGCAAGCCAATAACTCGATACAATCTGATTTGAATAATAACCTGAACTAAATGGACTGTTTGATAACTGGAATGAATGAATAATTGAAATGAAATTTATTATGTTTTAAATTTCTTTAAATTACAATTCATTGTGAATTGATGCTATAAGAATGAGTTTTAGTATGTTTTTTTGTAATGCATGTTAAATAAATGCAGTGTGTTTTGAAGTGTATCACATAAATCTCATACATGAAACATATTTTAATATTATCAAAATAATTATGATACCCACCCCAATAATCAAGTAGTATTAATATTGCTTAAAGAGTTGCATAAAAGTAAACATAAATAATCTTCATAAAGTTGACAAGACAATTCCGAATAACTAAGTTGGATGAAACTTTATTTTTATTATGCGTTTGTTTCTACATTTAGAGTGATGTATTTAATGTTGAGCATCCTAACGCACAATACAGTAAAAATAAATAAATAAAAAAGACACAGCTGAATCAAATCCTGCCTGAGAAGCAGCAGCAAACAAAAGCACCAACAAGTTGAGCTGGAAAAACAATTTACAAAATGTTTACAATGTTGTAAATTAATCAGTTTCGCCAAAAACAACAACAAAAGAATGCTAAAACTAGAATTATTGGTGCTCAAAGCAACAAATTCTTACAAGACGATTTATTTTAAACCACAAAACAATGAGCTGCCACGCCCACAGTCTCTCCTGCTAAAAAAATAAAAAGCTGTACATTAATTTAAACCAGCTGCAGTGTGCTTTCTAGGAAACGATTCCCTTTTAGGATAGACCAGTTATAACTCAAAAGGCTGGTGGCGATGCTAAACATCCACCGACATTAGCTGTAAAGTTCGCTCAGGGCAGCCATCGATACAATCAATATTTCATTAGCAAAGGTAGCATTACTGTTGCAATTTTATTCTGAATATGGACTGTAGTAAACGCGATGTCGGAGAAAGACAGTCATATTACAAATATGCTTCGGCATGAAGAGTTTCGTCAACCTGCGCGAATGATTAAATAAGCAACAAGCTACACCTGACTAGCCGCGGTTAGCCACCGGAACCACAGGCAAACAGCGACTTAAGAACACTTACTGTAGTCCAGGTCATCCATTTTTGGTGCTTTATTTTTAGGCATAAATAGCTCAGAGTCGACTGTCATTAAATGTCAGAAAATTGGGGATATATCGCGAAATATATCCTCAAAACTAGAGACAGAAAAAAACAGACAAACCCCCCCACCGGTGTCGAAATGTTGGGCCGTAGACAAAGAAGGAGGCGACACGGGTAAAGGCGTCTGAGTGTACACCAGTCTACTTCCGGTCAGTTCATTTTCAAAATAAAACCAGTTTATCTTTTTATATTGAGAAAGAGCGGAGGGTGAAGGCAGATATGCCGCATTATTGCTGCTTTTGGAAATTACATTACATTTAAACAAATAATAACCCATGAAGAGCTACATTATTTAATGTCGACTAACTTCACAGTTTAGCGAAAAAATAGGCTATTGTCAAATATCAAAAAGGCAAGAAAATGGACTCAAGCAAACAGGTGTGCATGAACGTCTCAATTTTTACGGTGGCCCTGCAAAGCACTACAACATTAACGAGGCATAATTACAAATTACGGAAGCACTACAACATTAACGAGGCATAATTACAAATTACGGAAGCACTACAACATTAACGAAAACACTACAACATTAACGAAGCACAATTACAAATTACGAAAGCACTACAACATTAACGAAATCACTACAACATTAACAAAACGGAAGAGGTACGTCCCAGTGGGAGATCTAAGAAATCACGGATTGGACTACAGCAAGTTTTCTTTTAAACCGGAAGTTTTTCTGGAGACCCTTTTTTATAGTGATGTCAGACAATGGCCGCCATAACTCGAAGAGGTGTATGTTTACTTCTGGTGTGATTTTGCCTCGGGAAACTTGACTGAAAAATTCACGGATACTCATTATCTTAAGGATATACTAAAAGGTAAGGTTAATAACAACAGCATTTAAGTGTTAGTCGTTATTACTCATTGTCAATCCACCATTCTCTAACTGTGTATATAATAAACAGCCTCCGATCGGAGAGTAAACCAGCTAGCAGCAGCTTTAGCCAAAGTTGGGAGAACATATACACCGCTGCCTGTCAGTGCTATATTAAGTTTCACTAAAATCACTGACATCTTCCAACACTGTTGTTTAGAAAAGCATTTTAAATATTGATTTAAGCGCTATCTGCCAAATAATTTACATATTCTGATGTGATTCATAATATCTCCTTTTGTTTTGTTGTCCATCTTTCTCAACAGTAGCCGACCTAACAACCTACCATATCTGGGATGGTCTTGTTCCTCTGCCCATGGCAGGTTCAGTCAATCAGCTGTGGGACATCTGCTGCCTAACGTCAAACCATCATGGGCCTCTTGATTTAGGTCTAAACTTACAAACTCTCTTACACATACTATCAAACTCTCACATTCACAGTCAAACTCTCTCACATTCACTATCAAACTCTCACATTCACAGTCAAACTCTCTCACATTCACTATCAAACTCTCTTACATTCATAGTCATATTCCAATCCCCACCTAATAAAATATGTTTAGTAGAAAATGTTTAAGTTGTTCGATATTCAATAATTGTAAGAAGCTCTTTATTTTTAGAAATGTTACAGTAACTATAAATGCTACCTAGGATTGTGAATGAGTCCTCAATATGTAATACGGAAAAAGACCAGTGGCCATCACTGTCATGTTTTGTATGAATTATTTTCCCTGGAAAGTTATTCAGTAATATAGCCACACCTGCTGATTTTGTTGTACCATATGAATAAGTAATCTGATCTCCCCACTGATTTGACCAAAATTATTTATCAGCCTGAATATCTGAGTCATTAGCTTACACACGTTGATTTATGGTATTTGACTTGGCCCTCCATTCCTTTGCAGCTCTTGCTATTTGGTCTTATTGTCCCGCTGAACAGTCTCAAATCTTTTTGCAGCTTCTCAAGTTTTCTTCCAGGATTGAACAATATTTACCTCCATATATTCTCCCCATCAACTCTGATCAGTTTCTTTCTCTGCTGCAGAAAAGCAGCTCCACTACATGATGCTGCCACCACTGTTTTATACAAAGCATGATGAGCAGTGTTTTTTTTTATTTTTACTTAAAACAGTATTTTGCATTTAAGCCAAAATATTCAGTTTAGCTCCCACTTAAGCAGCATTTATAAAATTAACAGCCCCATATATTAGAAGGAATAATGAATTCCGTCACACCAGACAAATTTATGAAGTTACATTTATTTTTGAAACAATTTATAACCATTACCTGTACACTGTATATGTATACATTTCCACTGATTTAGTAATATTACCATTTCATTACAAGCAGCCCACTAAAGACGATTTAATGGCATTTATCCACTCAGAAGTTGCAGTCCAGGACTGTCCCATCAGATTGGTCTAGAAGACGCCATGGTCCCAGCTATGGCCACAGACAAAGCTGCTGCTCAAAGAAAGTAAACTATCAAAACTAGGCTCTGCAACATTAGTAAACATTTTGGCATATTTCTGTTCACACTGTGTGTATCAGTTCCTATTTAGTCAAAGTACAAGCTTAGACTCAAAATGTAGTACTCACATTCTGTAGCTGTGAAAGCAGTGTAAAAACCGTGGTGGACTACTTCAATTGTGCATTTGAAAGGGGGAAAAAAGGCTAAGACAGAAAGATAAACCTGTTGAGCAAATCCTCAACAGTTGTAATTTACAGGCTTATTATACAAAGGCATTGATTAAAAAAGTACAGTATGCTGATGGTGATCCAAGCAGTTGGCACATCTTCTAACTGATTGATATATTGCACATGCTAATGATTCATCTTCAGCTCAGACCGAGTCAGCAGGCTCTACAGTAAGAAAATTAACCTCTGTAAGACAATTCAGGCTCAGAAAAACTCACTTTCACTTTATCAGCTCAAATAACTATCAGAAAGTTTCAGATGGAAAAGTAACAGACAGTAATCTAACAGTCTGTTTCTGCAGCTGGTTTACTTCAACTTTAAGCTGGTATTTTTTATCTCATCTCATGCTAAATCATTTGATCCACCAATATAGCCTTGATTTAGTTTAGTGTCGTCTCCTCTGGCTCTTATAAAAGGCTTTTTAAACAGTCAGTTGTACCTTTCATTACCTTATGAGTGTTTAAACTCCAACAATTCATTAAAGCAATGCGATTCAGTCCGCAATCTCTGTACTAGGCAGTTAGTATTCATTAAATAGTTACTTTGCGTCCTACTGATCTGTGCTGCTTAAATTCCAGTTTTTGTGCAGCATATCCAAGATAACCGAGGAATCCCATCTAACTACATTTTCAACTATTTCTTCTCAGACTGCTGAGGCCTAAGGCAGTGATTGTTTTTATATCAAAGTGTCTGGAAGCGGTGAGAAATCAGCTAGTTTTATTCAGGCATTGCTATGTTCAACATGTTTCAACAACCAACATCACTGACATCATCAGCAGCGTGCATCCACTGGCTAAAAACAAGCAGGCAGAATGCAAATGTCAGCGACGATTAACATTCAATCCAGAAATTATCAGGGTTTTTTTTGTTGATGTTGCTTTAAACTGATTTACTTGTAGCAAGAGGATTTGATGTACAGTCACGTTACTCTGGAGAATCACAGTAGGCAGCTGGAGCTAAGGAAATGTATAACTAGTGTTAAATTTATGCATCTGATGTAATATTTCAGTTGAACAGAGGTTAAAGGGATTTGAGATGAGGTTATGTAAGCAGTCAATATCTTATCTGCAGTAGGTAACTGGTATCTGCGTTTTGTACAAATCCAGTTTAGTTAGGCCTGGAGGCTGAGACTAACGAGTAGCCTTGTGAACTTCTACTGTCTTAAAATCTCTGATTGCTAAATGCCACAGTGTTGTATGTGCCGTTTCATGAACCTTTAAACTGTTGTCATGCTTGAACTTGTAAATTATTTGCACAAAGAACTAGAATTACAAATATAATTTGAGTCAGGAATAATCTTCAATAATCTTCCTGCATGAAACATGTAGAAGCGTTTCCAGTAAATATAACTGCCTGATAACATTTGAATGGTGTACAAATCCATAAATTGTGTTCAATTAAACCCCTATAATATTTTTTAAACCATTTTCCTTTGATTTCACAAAGTTTCTCTGATCAGAAATGCTGTAAATGTTTGGGGAGTAGGAATAAATTACTAGCGCACCACCTCCAACCTCAATTTCCTGTGTGAATAATTATGAATTTCTGTATATATAACAATCTAAAACAAAGGTGACGACAGTTTAAAGGTAAAAAAACCTTAATTTTCTGATTTGAGCTTTTTGAATTAAATAGAAGAGCATTCTGAAACAGACTCTGATTGGACTAGCTATTAGCTTTAGCCTTATAGACCATCTAAATTTGATGTAAATTAAAAACATTAAGCAAATTGTCTACTGCAGGTAGGAAATTAGCCGTTTATACCGTTTCTAGCAAAACCTCACCTTCAAAAACACCCCAAACTCTCCTTCTAACAAGTTTCAGGCTTAGTACATAACAGAATGAGCAAAAGGTAGATAAGGCATTAATTTAAAGGACACAAGTTTTTGTCCTTTAAAAGTTTAACACTGGTGGAAGAAAGAGTCCAGGTAAGGGATTGTGGATAATTTCCGTGTATTTAAAAAGCCCCAGAATATCTTTGTCTTGGGTATTAATCGTATTTCTCAGACTAAGGCAAAATTCAGTTAGTGCTTCTCTGCATGCATACCAACATGTACATGCACTGTCTGCTCGAAAAAATCCACAAAACATTCAATTGGTATTGGTATTCCCTCTTCTTATCCAAGACTGTGTGGTTCCCCTTCTTACTATACATCATACAACACTTGTGCAACTAAGCGCATTTTTAGAAACAATTCTTGAAATTTAGTATTAATCCCTGCAGTCATTCTGCAATGACGCTTGGCTCGGTGTGTTATCCCTTTAAATCCCTACGAAAGTGTTTCCTGCAAACAAAGCTAGTGTCTCAAACACTCCACTTTATCTTTCTCCCTCTGAGAGCTTAAGGGCGACAGAGATAATTCATTAGAGTATTGATATGTCAATATATGTACGTATGTATGTATATATGAATATAAGATCCATAATCCCTTATTAAAGTCTGGTAATCTTTACTCCAGTGTCTCCAACAATGAGGCGGGCCATGGAAGGATGAACCTGTGAAAGACCAGAAAAAATTGATGAGTAACTTATTGACACAAAGATATAATACAAATTACACAGCATAAACTAATCAGAACCTGAACCAGAATGATAAGTTATTTCCATTAATCTTTTCTAAATTCCTCCCACTTTGCCATTATTCACCATGTTGGTGATCATTTATATAAAAGCCCATGTCCATCTTCAACTCTTTGGCTTCACAAGACAAAATGTGGAAAATTTCAAAGCTTATCACAGATACTGTACGGTTACGTTCAGGTGCTGTTACTGATCTTTCTAACCTGCGCTTGTAGTGGCCCGTAGGGCACAAGTTCACCATCCACAGTGAGGGTTCCCCGCGGAGACAGCGGCTGCAGCCTGAAGGCCTTGCAGGAAACATGGCTCACGTACGGCGAGTTGACTGAGTGGTGGTTTCCTTTTTCCATGGCAAAGAACAGTCTGAGTAGCGTGGCTCTGGAGATGCCGGCACGGACAAAGGTCAGGTGGATCAGGCCGTCGTCAAACCTGGCCTGAGGTGCAGCATGGAGGTCAGCCCCAAGGTGGCTCTGGTAAAGGGCCAAGACCAAGACAAAGTCCCCTTCAATGGTGACCCAATCTCTGGTGGGGAGCGGCTGATCGAGTGGCGGTAACAAGTCGTCCCTTGGCACATCGAAAGGCAGCGAGACAAACGGACGGTTCCTTAGGAGTCCTGCTGGTTCGTTAAGGTCAAAGTTAAAAGACGAGGACGGCATTTGGAACGAGGGAGAGTTCAAGGTGGAGTTAGGGGTGTTAGGACGGGGGGCGAGGTAGGATGATGAGTGTGGGGAGGAAGTGGAAGGGGAAGACGGCGGTGTGGGAGAAAAGGAGGGGGGAGTCATTTTAGGAGGGAGGGAGTTGGAGCTAGAGTGCTGGAGGAGTGAGTGGGGCCTTGGACGGGACGTGTTTTGGTTTTGGTCCAGAACTTTCTGCTTGTAGGAGAAGGGATTGTGACGGAAAGGGGAAGAGATGGTGAGAGATCGCTCCCGAGCCACATCCAGAGAGTAAGACTGTTTTTGGAATAATGTGTCGTTCAGATCCATGTCCTCCATGCCATAAGAAATCCCAGAATCTGTGCTGGATTCTTGACTGAGAGGCTGGCTCAGCAGAGAGTCGGCTATCTGGCTCGAAGGAGCCGAGTTCTTCCTCACCAACTCTCTGGTGCTCTGAAGACTGTCCTGGCTAGAGAGGTCATCTCCAGGCTCTTCCTGTGCCTCTCTTCCCATGTCCACCCCGTAGCTCTCTCCCAACTCCCTGGCTCGCAACAGTCCGTCCGCCTCCAGGGAACCGCCACTGCCTTCCTCGTCCCTGTCATCGTCATCCTCCAACATTTCACAGGAGTCTGGCTCTGATGTTTCCTCGTCTTCCCTTTCGTCCCTTATCCCTGCCAGCCTTTCATCTCTTCCCATATTGGATTCATCTCGTTCATTTGACGCAGAACTCGCTCCGGACTTCTCCGAACAGTTTCCGGACTTCTCTTCAGCTTCCATCTCCATCTGCCCCTCCTTCTCTCTGTCTTCTGCCAGACTGCTCGCTCTCACCACACCAGTTCCTTTACCTCTACCCCTCTGTCGTCTCCTTGTCCTCTCTCTCTGCCTCTCCTCTCTTTCCATCTCACCTCTGCGCAGGAGGCTCCTCTGCTCACTGATGCCCATGTCGGAGCAAGTGCGATGGATGGGTGTTTTGGAGAATCCATCCAGGCCTTCAGTAATGCTGCGGGAGAGGGGTCTCCTGGGTGGAGGTGTCCCATTTGAAGTCGTGGCAACTACAGAGGGAGGCATGTAGGACAGACGGCCCTTGTACGATCGAAGAGAAGCTATGCGCACCAAAGTGCCCAAAGTGAAGCGAGCTGAGCCCAAACCACGATACCTGGAACAAAGAAAATGTTTAAAATGAAACTTTGTCTTGTGATGTTTGATTGTCCTAGAACTTCCCACACTTGGTCATGCTTTCAACCACACATTTAATGCATCTAATCGGGATTTTATATATCAGACAAACACAAAAATACTTTCTTTTCAACTAAAAATCTGAACTCATGGCCTACACATTGGCCCCCTTTCAGCGCTTTTTACTCTGGTGCCCATAAATAAAATCCAGACAGGTGACAGATAAGGTTTTGGGGAAGCTTGAGGTAGAGTCTGAGGAAGTACACATCATCCTGAAACTCCTGATGGCGGTGGAAGAGAAACAGGAAGTGTCTCAGATTGGTGGAGTTAAATACAGGACAATCCAGGAAGAGAGACTGTTGGGGGCTACAAGGTTGAGGCTGGGACGGCGGTTTCCTTTCCACCAGGAGGGCGGCCCTAATCGTAGTCTGACCTACAATTTAACAGTTTAGATCAAAGAATATTCATGTGTTGGAATGACCCAGTCAAAGTCCAGAGCTGAACCAGGAATCTGTTGTAAGAACTGAAAATTGATGCTGAGATAACCTATCCCTCCAGTCTGACTGAGTCTGAACTGTTGTGCAAATAAAAATGAGTGAAAGCATCTAGATGAGCAAAAATGGTTGAGAAAGGTGCTTCTACAAAATATTAACTCTGAGGGTGAATAAAAGTGCCCTTTACCATTTTTTATTTATTTTTTAAGATTTTTATGTGTAAAAAGGATTTTATAAAGATATAACTACTTTTGCTAGCCTATCACATAAAGTCCCCGAAAATACAAAGAAGTTTGTGGTTTTAAAATGTCAAAAGAATTCAACAGCACGGATACTTTTGCAAAAAACAGCACCAACCAAATAACTTGAGTTTTGACATAAAACGCACACCTTTCGCTTTCGATGTCGACATCAGACACAAAGCCCCAGGCGACAGAAAGGAAGGAAAACAGTCTCCTGGGTGCTGCAGTACGGCTGTTTTTGGAGGGCGAAGGGCTTGTTGTTATAGAGACCAGGTCCAGGGGTCGGATGCCGCCTCGACAGAGCAAGAAGCAGCAGTTTAAAAGGAGCGGCTCTCGAAGGCACATGTCATACCTGAGGAAGGGAAGTAAAAAAAACAAAAAAAAAACTCATCTCTGATAGAAATAGTCTCCATTTACAAAGGACATACTGGGAAACCCAAATGGTGATTTTAAAATATTTGTTTCAGATTTGCAGGGAGAAAGTACAAATTTGACTTTAAATAATGTTGCATCTGAAAAATATAAAAAAAATCACAGTTGCTCCATCTCTTTTTTTAACTGCTAATAGCAAGTTGACCTGGGGCAGATTTCACAGTTTCAGTGTTTCATTTCAGTCGATATCAATAATTATTAGTTTTTTGTTTTAAATATCTGAAATACTCCCAAACCAGCGACGTGATTTTTCCTTTTTCAGTCCAGTTTTCACCTTGCGCCGTTGTCATTTATTTCTAAGTAGGTATGAGCGATGAAACCTGAAACTGCTGCTAAGCAAGGTACTCAACAGGTTGTTGCTAGGTAACCACTAGCTACTCAACAAATTGTTGCTAGGTAACCAAAGAGTGACCTTGCTCAGCTAATTGTGAGCGGCTGAAGCTTTGCCCTCTGCCTACATCTCCCAGAATGCAGTGCGGTTCTCAATCGAAGTTCAGTGAAATTATTGGGTACTCTCTCTCTTTGTATTGATCAGATATTGTCTATCTTGATGCATGTTGTTATTGACTTGTCCAGCTTTACGTTGATGACAGATAGAAATGGGTTGATGACGCCTGACCAGTCACTGCTCCCCTCACCCTGCGTAGTGGTTGATGGAGCCAGCCAGTGCATTCCCAGAGCCGCAGGGCAGAATGCCAAGAGGTGTCTTTATTGCTTGTTCCCAGTCTGGACGCTCCATCAGTCCATTGATCACCTACAGATCCACAGGATATATATATATATAAAAAACTTCAGGAGACATAAAACTTTACCTGCACATCAATGTTTTCATCAGAACCTCACCTCATGCATCAGGCCGTCTCCAGAAACAATGATGATGCCGTCCCACTCTGGCAGCGATATCTCTCTGATGAGCTCTCTCGCGTGGTTCCTTCGCTCTAGGACAGATTAATGAAGATAAATTAACATTCATGCATTATCCTTACTCACAGCTACGGTTTTCAGCTTCTTGTGTTACCCGTCTGTATGAGGTTGTAGCTGATGTTGGCCTCCCTAATCATTGGCAGGATGTGGGCCTGACACCACTGCATCGCCTGGCCTCTTCCGCTGAACGGATTGACCAATAACAGTAGTCGCCTGGGACGAGGTAGCAGACTTCTGGAAAACTCTGATGATGAGAGGAAGAAATGCCAAGTTAAATTTTCAAATAGTAATTATTCAGGACATCTAGAAATCCTCAACATTTGTAGCATGACCTAACTCCTACCGCTGGCTTTTATCGGATTGTTTATCCTTTATTGTGAAATATTTCTAATAATGCAAATTTTCATTTGCTGTCTCAAATTTCAACTGATGTTAAAAGAACTGACTAAAATTGTATTTTCACTGTTTTCTCCACTGTTCAAATTGTCACTTTTGTCATTGTCACAATAGTACAATATCATGATAAAATTTTAAGCCCACATCGTCCAACGCAAGCTGAGCTTTTGTTTCAGAGTTAGTCGACTCTTTTGAGACTGAGCCTCTCTTATTTCACCTGGCAGTGTACTTCACTCCAATCACATGGCCAAAACTCAACGCTCTCCGTTTCTTGAGACACTTTGGCTCCCTTAGCATAACCTGACCATTGTTCAAACAACATGGAGTACCTGAGTGTTGTTTCTTTTCCTCTTTATGACTGCAGTGTACCCATCGTCTGATCGCTGCTTCTAAGGTCAAATCATTCCCAACGGGTTTCTTGAATGCAACAATGAACTCACTGTACTTCAGTCACCAGATCTCAGCGCAACTGAGCGACTTTGGGATGTGGTGGATCATGAATGGGCAGCCGACAAAGTTTCAGCTGTTACATCATGCCATCATGTTAATATGAACCAAACTCCCTGAGAAATGTTTTATAAAACTTTGTTGAACCTAAGCAATGCAGAGTAAGCAAGTGTAGGTGAAGATAATCATTTGCCACCCAACACCATGAACTGATTTTCAGATATTTTAAACTGTACGACTTAGAAATGAAACACTTGCTCTGTTCACAATATAATTCCAATAATATTTTCCAGCAATTTACAAAAGTCATAATTTTAAAGAAACTATATTTCTCTCCTAGAAATAGTTAACTGTGAACAACTAAAGGGCAGCTCAGTGATCACTAAAGCCCAACAATACTACCATTCAGAGTGCGAAAAAGCTGATTCCTAAATTAATACCAAAGCAAGAACAAAGATGGAATGTAGCAGAATAATTCAATTGCATGTTATGTAACGAGATAAGCAACAGAAAACATCTAGATAAGGAACGTTAACAGAGGCTACAGTGACAAAAAGGAGACTGAACATTGAACACTTATCTTCTGATAACCAAGTCTTATTAGTTGAAGGGAAGGAGTGGCATGATGCAGCACCTTTACCTTCTCTGTCTATATATTTCAGGGCTTCCTCCACTGTTTTGTAAGCCTGGCTGGCCACCAGGCTTTACTTGTGCCCCCACCAGGCTTAGCATTGCTTATTTAAGTTTTTTTTTTTAAATGTTTGCATTTTTTAAAAGACTTTATAGTTGGTGTTCAGATATTAATTTTTCAGTCTTTCAATAACACATAATCATCAAGTGATATTTTCCAATTTCCTGACAACTTTAATCATTTTTTAACTCAAAAACACGGCAGGCGGCTGGACGAATGGACTGCAGAGCAGCCCGACTACCAGGCTTAGCAAGTTTTCTGGGTGAAACTTTGTATTTATTATGAATATGTAGACTCATGTGAGTGCAGAACAGACAAAAGAGAGGGTGAACAGTTTGATAAACGTCAAAGTTTACTTATTGAAGTGTTTAGGTATTGTGCAGCCTTTGAAAGCTGTGAAGAATAAAAACTTTCCAGACAGAATGAGTTGGCTGCACATGCAGGAAGACCCAGGGCCACCGTGACATTCAGCTATAATTAGCAAGAGTCTACAAAGGGAGGCATAAATGAAAGCAAACAAAACAACAAAATGTGGAGTTTCAGACCAATTCCTGGAGCCAAACATAAAGGTCACAACAAGCAAAGGCGCAGAACAAGCATTCTTTAAATGCCCTTCAACGCAATCGGTTAAAAACAATCAAAGTCTCTAAATGGACACTGTTGTCAAGCTTAAAGACCCAGTGAGCCGAAACATCTAACAGTGAATACTTTACAAAGAAATAACATTTTTATAGGGTCGCTCAAAGCTATAAAACAGAACATGTTTTTTCACCAGATTTGTATTAAAATCATTGGGAAAAACCAGCAGCTGAATTGCATCTTTCTGCAGATGATGATGTTCTTTACTGAGACGCTCCAGTCGACCTAAAACTGTCTTCCACCTGCTATAACCATCACTGTTCTTACTGTGACGGATACTAAATTAATGTCATCTTCCAGTAGAGCAACACAATATAACAAATTAGCATCACACTCGCAAAAAACTGTTCATTTACTATTTAGTAAAGTAATAAATTTCAAGTCTGCATTTCATCTATTTGGCCGCTGGGATCAATGTGATGTCGACACTAAAACTCATTAAGTGGATTGAGAGAAGATGTTATACAACAGCATAAAGACGAACGAATTCAGGAAAACGTGGATTGTAATCTGTAATATCATCGCAATTTCTACCAGCAGCTTTGCTACTGAACACTTTTTCATTTTTCATTAATTCTTCTTCTGTCACAAATGCAGATAGAAAATGTCAAATACATAGTTACTTATTTTACAGAACCACTTCAATACTATCTAAATATATCTTTGTATGCATTTTTTTTTTCATTTTTATTTGACTTTTATTTATGTAGACCTGTTCTGATAAAAAAAATACAAACAGCAACAATACAATACATTAATTAAATTTCACTCAATTATATAAGCTGTTAAAATATTGCCTCCTTCCTGAAATAATGTCCTAAGTCATTGTTTTCCCAAAAGTATTTTTGTTTGTTGAAACATCTTTTAGAAGGAAACAGTTTGACTTAGGCCATTAAGGTGACATATGAGCTAAAACCAAGACCAAGCTTCATAAATTCTCTCTTTTTAAAAATAATAATAATAATTTGAATCGTCCCAAAGGATAATTTTGCAGAAATCTCATAGAAAATGATAAAACTTGAAGTGATGTAGTGTTAATCTATCAATCTACCAGGTAGGTTTGTGAAAACCAGCATTGTACAGCCAGACTGATTATAAATATTGTTTTCAGATCTGAAAATCTAATTTTTAACATGAGTGAATATTAATGACTGCTTTGATACAGATGATCTGTGATTCTGTCTGGACAAAAAGGCTTTTCAGGTGAAAGAGATGCTCACCTGTGTTAGCTGTAACGGGCACTTCTCTGAGCAAACACTGAATAGCGGCCGACCACCTCTCAGCTTCAGGCCGGCTTTCTGCCAGGTACGCCTTCACCTGCCTGCGCCTGGACACCCCCTTCCTCCGCTTCCCTGGCGGATACCAGTACAGCACGAGCAGCGGCGGCGCAGGAGAGCGAGGACAGCTGCACCCCACCAGCTCAGACAGAGGCAGCAGGAGACGGGCTTCCTTCCCAGGCCGCGATGAGAGACGCTGGATGTGAATGTGGGTGTGGGTGAGGGTCAAGGCATAGTTGGACGTCGGACTCAGAGGTGGTGAGGTGGTGGGGGAAAGCCCTCCTGAGCTTCCAGGGCTCTCCGGGCAGCTGCAGCTGCTGCTGCAGCTACTGTCAGATTCCCAGCTGGCAAACTGTCCGTGAAGGAGGGCTTCTTCTGGAGAAGGCGAGGAGGAATCTGGGGAGCGCATCCTCACTTTTGGATCGGACGACGTCTGCCAGTCTGACGAAGCAAACAGTACGAGCTTCTGGATCCAGAAGCTCAAAGAGCTGTCAGTTCTTCAAGATGTGCAAGAAAAATTAAAATGTGTCGGAAAAGAACTTCATCCCTGAAATCACTTCAAAATTATTCTTCATGCAGGCAACAACAAAAAACAACAAAATCTTCTGACTGGGTCTTCATTTAAAAAGCAAACTTCTTCCAGTATAAAGAGTAATTTTTCAAAAGAAATAATCCAGTGAAGATGAGGGGGAAAAAGCAATGAAATCTAATCAAAGATGTCAGCTTCAACAGTTTCCTGCCAATTAAAAACTGGACAAGCAAAACTTCAACACGTGAACGGGAAACTCAGTCAGAAATTGCATAAGTACAAAAAAGTTTACATTTCAGTTTGAAGCTGCCTTTGGTCTTAGCAAAACAAGGCAGCAGAGCAGCTAATTAATCAGTAATCTTTAAATAATCACACCAAGGTACAAAACTGAACCTCTAAAAAGAAGAAACTCATACATCAATAAAGTATCAATAAGACAAGAAGCAAAACACACCTTTTCTGTGAAAGGAGGTCATTAAACTAATGTGCAGCGATTCCTTAAAGTATGTTGCATGTCGAGTGCAGCCTGCAGCGTGACGAATGCCCCGTAGATATGATGAGTGCAGCTTTTCTGATTAGTGCAGCTTTTCTGAGACCTTTGAAACTTCTATTGCTATCTGAAATCTCAGAGATTATATACGACACAAGCAGGAGGAGTGACAAAAATCACGCTTTCAGGACGGTAGTGTGATAAATTAAAGAGTCGTCGTAGAAAACACTCCTCCGAATGACATCTGACAAAAAACAAACACAGGGAATAAGCAAAAAAAAAAAAAAAAAAAAAGAGGAACAAAGCAAATGCACAAAGGAATCAGTTCCAGGTAAGTCCTTAGTTCATGCCATCTTAATGTCCTTAAGTAAAGCCCCTGGAGTCACGTTCCCTCCCAAACATCTCTGCTCCTGTAGGAAAAGAAAAGCAACGTTAAGTGTTGATGTCAATATCGGAAAGTCAGACATCTACAATGTGACCCTGTAAGGAGTTGAGTAAAAAAAATATTGCTCATTACTATAGAAAAATGTATTTTTAGATCTCAGTTTTAGCAACAATCACTGCAATAAGCAGGAGAGATTATTTTCACAGTGAAGCAATATAGATCTGCCACGCTTCTTGAACTTAGGTGCGTCTGGGCTGCTACTGACTCACAGTCACACATCCTTAAACCGCCTTGCTGAGACGCCACATTACTGTGCATGAAATAGTTGCATGCCAATGACCGCAGCTTGCAAGCATTTACATAATCAGGAGTTTCAATCCTCAGGACTGTGGGACAAAAGTGCCCTCTGTCACAATGTGGATCTTGAACTGCTGAGCTGTCTTGCTTTTACGTGATCACAATGTCCCCAACATGTTCCCTCAATTCAGTTCCCACGACAACCGTGACTTTATCACGGCCAGTTCAAATGCATGACGCAAAACATTATCGGCCAACAAATACAATTTTATGATGATGCACACACTGACTTGATTCAGAACTACCAATTTAGACGCACAATTAGAATTGAGGCATTTTTTTTTACCTTGTTTATCATAATAAACCACTTAAAAGAACAACTTCAACACAGGTTTCATTCCTCCTGGTATCAAATCTTTCACAGATTAGGAGGTTTGCTTCATGCCCAACATGTTCAGTTTTGGACTTAGCTGACCACTTCCCTTCACATCAAACACATTCACAGAACAGCTGAACTTAAATAAAGAAGATTAAATTTAATGCACTGCAAAAATATTACCTAGTATTTTTTGATCTAGTTTCTAAAGCAAATATCTTAGTATACTTGAAAAAAGACAAAAAATAACTTACAAGTAATTGTTCAGCAAGATATAGGAGCTTGTTTTGAGTAAATAATTAACATTGATGAAAAAAATAGCTACATTGGCAGACTATTTCACTTACAACGAGGGAAAAATGTATTTTTACAAGTGAAATAATCTACTTTTTCCATCAACATTTTGCTGAAGATTTACTTGCAAATTAGTTTTGTATTAGTTTATATATTAGCACTAGAAACTAGACTAAAAATATTTTGGTAAGATTTTGTGTTTTTGTTGTTTAAAGATATAATCTATTTACTTCTGAAGGGAATTATTTAGAACCGAAAAAATATTTTCACAATTATGCATTTCTCTGATAGTCCACCACATAAACTAGATTAAACACCTTTTAAGTTCCAGTCAGAGTTTTGAAGATGTATTAAAACTTTTTCAAAGCCATGTATTCTAGGTAAAATGTCATATTTAGTATGCAATGCAACAGAACAACTGGCTTAGTAAATGTTCAATCTCAGACAGATATTAACCTGGTCGCAGCTCTTTCCAAATGCAAGAACAGTGTGGAAACATTGTTCGAGCTGTAATGCAGACAAACCAACAGTTGGCCAGTGTCCTGCTCTGATTAAACACGCAGAAATGCACCTCACTGATGCCCATTGTTGCATCTTACGTCCTTGAAGTGCAGGGCGGGGACACAGAAATAATAACAAGGAGGCTAAATTTGTCCCCCCCCCCCCCACCCACACACACAAAGAGGTTGTAGAAATAACGGTAAAGAAAAAAACAGTTTGGTTCATTTCCTGAATACACGGAGGTATTCATCAATTTAGGGTGTAATTACGCAGTTTAAAGACACATTTTAAAGCCCTGGCCGGCAGTCTGGTTATCGTTGGCTTTACATGGAAACTTTGATCGATGCTGACCACCTAACCAAGCTAGCAACAATCCGTCAGTTAGCCAGCTAACTTAATCAGAATTTCTTCAACTGCGGCACGAAAACAGTTATTAAAATACTATTCAAAAACAAACCCAAAACTGTGTTTGAAGAGAGTTTTAAACTACAAGAGAGTCAATTAACCCAGAGGCCAATGAAAGTTGCGCCCCTCAGTTTAATGTTAGCTAGTTCGAACTGTTGTCAGTTAGCTGAAGCTAACAGTTTTCTACTTCATATCCAGCTTAAGTTTAACTTACACTTGCCTTTTGTTCCCTTTAAAAAATTTATCGATATATATTATTGCTAGCTTTAGAGTCCTACTTAATCGTTCAAGTCAAATTGTTAGATAAGATGTACACAAACTAGCGTGTTAGCTACAGACCGCTGTGATTTACTATGCAAAGTAGCGGTAAAGAAATACAAGTTAAGATTCAAATTTGGACCTTATAAATGGTAATTCAAGCCCAGCAGAACACAAAGCAGCGCTGAAACAAAGTACAAATTACCTCATCCTGTCCCCCTCTCCAGGACTGCGAAAACTGAGTCGGAGCAGGAAGTGTCTGGAGCCGAGGCAGCAGCAGGTCTGAGCGGCGGAGAGGAAACCCAATGACGGCAAGGAAAACACTGAAACACCCACCGACATTCTCCAATCATCAGCAGACCACCACTTCCGGTTCCAGTCATTTGTTATCAGGCAACTGATGAATGCTCATCAATAGACAGTCCCGGTGCAATTAAAAGCCCGCAGCGCGGTGCATTATGGGAGGTTTATTCATCTGCTTTCATCAACCCATTCTTGAGCTGTTCAATAAAACGCAGACATGGAGTTTTTGGACAGCCAATCATCTTTTTATTTGTCAGACTGCATGAAAAACAAAAACGAGACTAGTTCTTGTAAGCACGGCTGGATCTGCGACCGCGGGCTCTCTCGAACTTCCTGCCCTTGGAGCGGACGTAGGGCCTGGAGAGGAGAAGAGAATAGAAATTAGGACAAATCAAAATCTCAATCTTTGTTCCTGTAAACCAGTACAGTGAAACCATCTATTCATGTATTTTTCTCTGGAATTAGTCTGAAATATCAGTCCATTTGTGGAACTTGGAAAGGTGAAATACCAATAATTTTCCTAGGAGACTGGCTGTAACTTGCAACTAGCTTCTGCTATAGTACAAATACAGTTTGCATTAATAAATAAAGATATATTTGGGATATGAAGTATTAAAATAGACTGTTAAAATCACTTTTAGAGGGGGTAGTTTCAAGTATTCATGGATTTCAGTTATTGGTTGTGGTCCCCTTCCCTCTAAAACACTGTATCTCAGTGTGGTGATGTGGATTAGATTCTCTTCACATCCACCTGTTATCATGACATCCCTTCCACTTTATACCAGTAAAGAAAACATTTCAAATCATTACACTTTAGAAAATATCTCATTTAATTTGATTTCTACTTTCTATTATTCCCATTCCTGTTTTGTGTTGGTCAGCTGACTAAAAATATGACAAATTAGGATCCTCTGTAAACCAAAATAACTACCCTATTACTGTACTTCACTTTATTTCTTCTTGGTAATTAATTATTCTTGATAAATTTTGTATTACACCCCATTTCTAGCATTTCAACATTCTTAGGAAACATAGATTATAACCTGTGATCAATTTGAAATGCATATAATCGACTTCCTGCTGGGTAATATGAATTAGATACAGAACCACATTCACCAGCAATCTAAGAATGAATTACTAAAATGTAGAAAATTATTATAAGTTTTCAAAGCGGGAGAAAATTTAATAAGTCGCAGCTAGGACCGTCACAATAGACAATAAATCAACTCATCACATGATAAATGAAAAGAAATTCAATAATTTTCATTTGCTTGATTTAGCGTTTCTCTTTTTTCTCTCCGTTTACCAAAATCTGGATGATTAGTCAGCAGTCTGGTGTTTTGGTCTCAACTATCCCCCCCTCCTTTTTTTTTTGGAAAGATAAGTTTGTTTACAGAAACTTCATCATTTATTTTGTTGTATCTGTTGCTTTCTTTATTTTGGATATTCCAAATATCTTACAGTTCCAGTGGTTAAAAGTTCATGAGAATTTAAAGTTTATTGAGCTTTCAGAAAGTGTTCTTGCATTTGTATGCTGTTATTACTGATATATTACTTGAAAATGTTCTCAAAACAATGTTATCGTTTGTCGCAATAAGTTTTGGGACAATTTATTGTCCAGCAAAAATTTTTTTGTGACAGGCCTAGAGGCAGCTTCATTTTACACCTGAAACGTTTGTGGTACAAAACGATTAAAACTGGAGAGATTTTAAAAGAGCAAAAATCGTCAGAACTTTTTCTCTGCTTCATAAGTCCAACACAATTTCATGTTAATCAAATGTTCAAAATAACTACAATTTTATTGTTAAAATAAGATAAACGTTACACTTTAGAGGCACTTTTGTGAAATAAAGATGTTTGAAAGCAGCAAAAAGACAAACTCCAAAAGTGTCAACATTCGACTGAAGACAATTTAAGTATATTTAGAAAAAATGTCAAAAGGATCAGATTGTAAAAGCCCTCAATTCAAGGTGCATTAGGTTTAGCATTTTTTAGCAAATGCTTCTCTACAATCACAGCACATTAAAAGTATCAAAGTAAACTGTGTGGTTTCCGCTTTTAAGTGGAAACAATGTGGGAAAGTAAGAAACTAAGTACACCATGATGTAATGCATTTACTTTTATCAGATGGAAATAGCTCAAATCTAAGCTGTTTTGATGACCCAGTACGTTTTGAATTTTGTAGTTTTATCAATTTGTAGTCAAAATATTTGACTTTAAAGGAACCAATGTTGGTTAATAAACTAACAGGGCTCCTGTGTTTAACCATGTGATGCTGTGTTGGTTTCATGTTGGGTTCAGACGTACTTGGTGTGGCTGTGAGGGGTTCCAGGAGCTTTTCCAAAGTGCCTGTACACCTCTCTGCCTTTACGGGGCCCTGAAAAGGAAAAGATGTATGTAACATCAGATACAGACAGTAAAATCTCTGACAACATCATCAATTTTAGATCTCTACATTAGTACAGATAATAATCCACATTTATAGCACACATCTGGAAACGCTACAGCAGCAGAGAAGAAATGTCGGGGATAACAAGGAGCTTTGATTCATTTTGACTGGGAAATAAAACTCTTAAAGGCTTGATTAAAAGAACCATTTGCAATCATTCATGTTGTCAGGCTCCTAAAAGTGACTAGAGATTGTTTCAAAATGAAAAGAATAAATAAGATTTCTACACATTTTTCGTTTAAAAAGGCCAAACTTTCCATATTTTTCTGCACTTTTAGATCATTCTGGATATTTAAGTACCAAGTATTAGCACTGAACTTGTAACAGCAGACATGTCTCATCTACAAGTTTCACAAAACAAGTTTAACTACGTTAAACAGTAGATCTAGAGCCTAGATCTACTGTTTATAGATCTATAACTCCTTAAAATATCAGATAAGGAATGGGTTATCTTGAACTAAATGCATTTTTTAAAGACATTTCCTTTTTTGACATTTATTTTGCTAGGAAAATCCCCCAAAATAGATTTATTGCTTTTAATTACAACATTTTGGACTCGGATTGAGAAAAACACACCAGATCAAACTAACTTTGAAGCTGCCTAGAGACAACATGTAAAGGGATAAAATGCTCAAATTAAAATCTGATTCAGCAAAGTTAAGCATATAAGAATAAAAGTAAAAACTATACTTTATTGGGCATTATTAAGGTTTGTCCAAATGAAAATGGAAGACAAGAGAATGACTAGCAAAATCAAAGTTTGTCCATAATCTTTCTTTCAAAATGATGAGCAAATTAAATCCTCAATCAAACAGAAAGTCTGACATAATGAGTAATTTATCAAAAACAATTAAAAATATAATGTGGCTACCTGGTGCCAAGATTTCAAACAAGACCAAAACTATTTTTTATCTATTTTTGCATGGTGTCATTTCGTTATTGCTTGGTGAAGATTATAAATCCAGAGACTTTGTTCTGATTCAGAGTTCTTATATAACAGAGTTTATTAATGATTCTACCTTCTCAGATTAAACTGGCAGACTGTAGGAGGAAACAGGAGAAGTTCAAGTACCTGACAGCAGCACTGTCCCATGTCCTTTGGGAGAACTCAAAGCCAGCTGGTCAAATGTCATCACCTGACCTCCGGCCTTCACGATCCTGCGGCGGGCGCGGTCGGTAACCTTGAGAGCGCAGATCTACAGAATAAAACGCAGAACTTCAGAGGGTCACAATGCTGAAGGAACATTATCTAAATCTTTATAAGATCAAATACTTTGAAGGAAAATGTAGATTTAGTAAGATCACTTACCTTGAGCTTGGGGATATCCTGAATCCTGATGTCATCAGTGACTGTTCCCACGACAACCGCGACTTTGTTATCACGACCGGGCATCTTCATCTTACGGATCTAATTAAAGACAAAACAGGCAGAGCGGAAAACTGATGAGGACATATTTCAAACCGAGGAAGAGACATGTAGAAAATATACCTATAGATATGAATGGGAGAAAAGGATTTCAGCATTATTATGGTAGACCATTTTTCTTCTGTAAATTATAAATTAAGATGTCAACATCTCTTTCAATTTCTTTTTTTAATCTCACTAAATATTAAGCACCAAAACCATAAATTTTATGTTCAAAACCTTTCAAATTTTGGCATGAAAAGCCCCCAAAGCCCCACATAACATTACAGCAAATCAGATTAAATGGTTTTTGACTATTTTACTGTTGCCTTAGTTTTCTATCATAGTTTTTTTTTCTAACCTTCTGACATGCTTCAGTTGTTCAGCTTTGTTTCAGATGAACACCAACATCAGAACAGAAAAGTGTAGGACTTTTAAGCAAGCATTTAATTGATGCAAGTTATTAAAAACTCCTTGCATGAACCACTAAGACATTTTGACAATTGAAGTTGTTTTTCTTTACACAATAAAAAAATCTTTGTTTTTAAACTTGCATCAGCTTGAAAATAATGCTTCATCAAACCAAAACAATGTAACATATCTGTTGCTCCAGGTAAGATATTGACTACTCATAACCACCTGAACCCTACATTAAACATGTTAATGATCCCCTTAATAAAATTAGTTTTTTCTTCTTGTTAAATGATAACCACTTGTTAAAAAAAACCTTTAACAAAAAGAAGGCAACCTGGGACAATCTGGGTGTTCTTTACAACAAACATCACATGCCGAAAGGCCTTTAAAAATGTTAAGTTTGAGTGTA